ATTGGGTGTGAAGTCGTTCTATAGGGAGTCTTGAATAAAAACTTATGGATAATATTATGGAGAAAGGCATTGAACAAGGTTTGTTTATCTAAGACTATTTATACTTTTACTAGTGAGAGTGGATTTTCTTTCTTGGGTTGAATGCCCCCAGACGTAGGTGATAATACACTGAACCGTGTTACCAATTTGTATGTTATATTTGTTCTGCCTTTATTCCGTCTGTTATGCATTTAACTTGTCATACGCATTGTCCCACATATTATCGGACATCTGTCCTCCTAAGAACAGAATTGCATTAACCATATATCCCAAATTTTGAAATCCTCGGTTTTTTTGAGACCCTATGCAACGGTTTAGGTTACATGGGCCTAAATCCAATCCTAATCAACATGAAATAAAAATATATGTTATGGAGATCTATAATTTGGCATTATCGTGCATGACATGATGTAGGGTCGTGTAGGGCATAATTTAGAGTTGTGCAAATGTATGTGTCTCTTGGTTGTGTTTAAAGTATTCTTCCTCCATGTGAACGTTCGATTGATTTTGATTATTGTTTTCCATGTTTGGATCTTGAAAATTTAAATTTTGTCATACATTATTGACATCACTAGTTGAGGCTTATTGGTTTGGGTTACTAGAGTTTGTCCAAACTCATCCTTACAAAATCGGCTTGTAAGGTGAAGGGTGTCACTCTATATACACTTTTTTCAAGCTTTATGTATAACAAATGTGAGACTTGGGATCTACCAAAAACACCCTCTCACGCCAACACTCTTTTTAGGGTTGGTGCATGCATTTTAAATGGTGGATGATCCATGGTTCGATTGATAGGCTTTGATACCGTATTAGAGTTTGACCTAACTCATCACTACAAAACCAACTTGTAAGATGAGGGATGCCATTCTATATATACTTTTTTTAAGCTCTATGTATAACCAATGTGAGACTTGAGATCTTCTCAATATTTTAAAGTTTGACCTAACACATCCTTATAAAATCGACTTGTAAGGTAAAGGGTGTTACTCTATGTATACTCTTTTAAGACTCCATCTCCAACCAATGTGAGACTTGGCATCTTCTAAATACACCCCTTCACACTCAACACTCTTTTTAAGTTTGGTGCATGGATATAAATGGTGAGAGACCCAATGTTCGATTCATAGACTCTGATACCATATTAAAATTTTAGCCTAACGCATTCTTACAAAACCGACTTGTTAGGTGATGGATGTCACTCTTTATATACTCTTTCAAGTGTCTATCACCAACCAATGTGTGACCTTGAATCCTCTCAGTATAGGTAACGTAAGGCAACAAAATTAACATAAAAAGTTTGTTAAGTTCATGACATTGTTGAGTTCTTTTAATAAGTTGTATAATCATTAGAATTGACCATATCCTACTTTTAGTTAGGATGAAAGGAAAGAAATCACAAAAATAAAAAATTAGAGGAAAAACTAAACAAAGATACACATGAAAATAATCTGATGAAAGGAAAGGAAAGGAAAGGAAAGAAAAATATTTAAACAAAAGAAGGGTGAGATAAGGAAATCAAAAGCCAGATAACACGCTCAAATAAAGAGGGTAAAAATGAATTACTATTCGAGAACTAGATCAATTAGTACCATTAGAAGAGAGAATATTGAGCATTAAAAGAGAGAACAAAGAGGAATTTAATATGAAGATGATTCTTAAAAATCAATTACTAGTAATTTTAAGAATCTTAACTACATATAAACAACAAAATTTTCCTTTAAAAAATAAAATAAATGTCTAAATAAAATAACCACATTTAATTATATTTTCCCTCATTTTAAGTTATTTAATCAATTACAATTTGATATCAATATTCACATATTCAAATAAGATGAAAAAACCATTCATATGAATATAAACACATAAAATCCACAACATATGTGAAATAATATTTTTACCAATTTTTACATACAAAATACAAATATTTTATACAAACACCATATTAACATTTTGCAAATGCACAAATATAGTAAAAAGTGTTATATGTAAGTTTAGTGTTAGATTTTCTTAAATAATTGATGGAAAGTTTTATCATTTATTTTAATTTTTATTGACTCCTCTTGTAATCTTGTGTAACTCGAATAATTATTTTCTGCTCTTCCACACAAATGATACTCAATTTATAAACTATTTATTACTAATAATTTTTTTTCTATTTTATGTTATTTATATTTACGTAGATATTTGTACTTGTGCACACAAGATTAATTGAATATTTTAATATAAAAAGTTTATAATCAATAACAAAGAGAATATGAGTGTTTGTGGTTCTGTTTGATTTAATTTAAAAAAAATTTGATGTTCAAACCGATCAAAAATATATTAATTGATTTAAATTAAATTTATACTTTTTTTTAAGCCCAACTCGAATCAGACAGAAAAACAACAAGTTAGCTTATGTTGGATTGATCTAATACAATCGAAATAATGTGCCAAATTATTTTTAAAAAAATATATCTAATTTATATAATATTTTTTATGATAATATAACATTTATATTCTTTTGGTTGCTCCATGATAATATATTATATTTTGGTAGCTATTTTAGACAAGCCATCAACAACACACACATTGGCTTCTCGTATTTATTCAAAATTCTTTGAAAAACCACATCTCCTTTTTATATTTTATCATATACACGTTATAGACTAATTTTATATTTTAAACCAAAAGATTTAAAATTTTGTATTTTAAAATGAATTCAAAATATTAAAAATTTTTAGGATCACTTAGATATAATTTTTGCCTCTTAAAATTTGTAGTTTTTTATCTTTCGTTTTAATTGTAAAATATTTTTATTTACAGAGAAACTTGTGCCACTTATTCAAGAAAAAAAAAATCATTCGAATCATTGATCATTTATATCTATTATGTATTTTCCATTTATATTTCTGTCCAAACATTACATTAGTTTGATGATATCATGATCTTTCTAATAACCTTTTAACACCTTTGATTTTTTTATTTATTTATTTTTTCAAAGTAAGAAATAAAGTCCAATTTGAATCTAATTTAAAAGACACAACCACTCCACCAACTCAAATAAATTCATAAACTTTGATTCTATTCTAAAAGTTTCATTAAATAAGTTTAGTCATTATCATTCATCAAATCAATATTCTGAAAATTTATGCAACAATATTAATATCAAAATCAACTTCACATTAAAAATGTTTAAGACTTCATTAAATTGTTTTCATTTGGAAAGAAAAATTGTATTATATGTGATGAGGGTGATTGCCACATAATTGTAAATTTTGCAATCCAAAATTATCACTTGACTCATGGCACCTTGATAATTTGATTGAGCTATATTATTAATTTATTAGTTTAGAGAGTCTCAAATAGACGTTGTTTTTATTTACCTTATTCAAAAACAAACACATAGGGTGGGGTGTGCAACTGGCATCACATCTCATATATATATATATATATATATATATATATATATATATATATATATATATATATATATATATATATATATATATATATATATATATATATATATATATATATATATATATATATATATATATATATATATATATATATATATATATATATATATATATATATATATATATATATATATATATATATATATATATATATATATATATATATATATATATATATATATATATATATAATCTTATTTAATTATATTTTAACAATAAAATTTTTTTATAAGATTCTATTTAAATACAATTTAATCGTAAAAAAATTTTAAATTATGTGCAATAATATATTTCATATCTTTAACCACAATCCTCTTACATACTATTATATTTATTATTATTATTATTATTATTATACAACAAATATAAAATATAAATTTTATTATTATTATTATTATTAGTAATGTGAAAATTCATTAGCACGTTGCTTCACACGCACCATCCACCTGTAATCGATTTTAAAAAATAAATCGATTTTATATAAACGATTTTAAAATTCAAACCAAATCATATATGTGGTTTGATTTTATTTGACTTATAATCCATGCAAACCCTTAATTTTGATTTCTTCCAAAGCTCCCCACAACTTAGCATTTATAATACTACCATTGCCCAATAATCTAACAAAACTCTAAATCCATTTTTCTTCGTTGCCCCTTAAGACTCCCTCACAACTCAACAATTCATAATCCTATACTTGTCCACTAATTTAACAAAACCCTTTATCTATCTTAAATTAATTTATATAATAATATAAGTTATATAAATTAATTATGATTAATTTAGATAGACGCGTTCGAGAATATAATTTTTAAAGGATAATACTAATTTGTGCCTCTAGGACACAAGTTTAAGAAAAATATTTATAAAAAATTAAATTTTTTTTATTTTATTAAAAACTGTGTACAATATTTAAGATATTATTTTTACTTTTAATTTTTAACTTATGCCCTTAAAAAAACAAGTTTAACATTACCTATTTTTAAAATTTTCAAACTAATTAACATCTATTTTCATTGATTAAATTCATTTTTCGTACAAACAAAAAAAATATTCAATTTAAATATTAGATTTTGATTTAGATTTCTATTTAATTAAAATTTATCGAAACTTAATTATCAGCCAAAAAGAGATGTTAGTCCAAAGTTAGATGAGTTTTATTAATAGTTAATTACCAAAAATGAACAGGTCGACATGTCGCTTTACAGTAGAAAGAAGGGTATGTTTGGTAATACCTTATTCCAAGGGCACTCCCGAACGGGTCCTTTCTATTTTCCACTCTCTAGACTAGACTCCACTCTTCTTCTTGTCTTCCGTCGTTCCCAATTCCTTTTTCTCCTCTCACATCAATTTTCCATTTTTCCCTCATTTTTCTATTTTCCGTCTACTTGATTCCAATTCCATCCATAAGGTAACTAAGATTCCTTTCATTTATTCTATTTTTAGGGATTTCATTTATGTGAATCTGAATCGCGATTGTGTTTTTAGGTTTTGTTAGCGATGAGGATCGAGGAATTGGATGATGCGGAGTGTAGTAGGGAAGAAGACCAGAACTTGGAGAGACAAATTGTTAGGGTTGATGCGAAGAGAGCGTTGGTTGGAGCAGGTGCACGGATTCTGTTTTATCCTACACTTTTGTATAACGTGCTTCGTAATAAAATGGAAGCTGAGTTCAGATGGTGGGATCAAATTGATGAGGTTTTGCTCTCTCGGTTTTTCGTTTTTATTGTTTTCATTTTGATTTTGTGTAATTTGGAAGTGAAAGTTGCTTTACTTGCTGAGAATGAATTGTTGATGTTTTCAAAATTGATGAGTTTTCAGATGGTAGGATTAAATTGAATGAGGTTTTGCTCCTCTGGATTTCATGATGGCTTTTTAGTTTTTGTTGTTTTGATTTTGGTTGTGTAATTTGGAAGTAGAAATTGCTTTATTTGCTGAGAATCATTGTTGAGGTTTGAATATTGAGGAGGTTTTTAGATGGTGGGATTAAATTGATGAGGTTTTGCTCTCTCTGCATTTCATGATGGGTTTTTAATTTTTGTTTGTTTTGATTTAGTGTAATTTGGAAGTGAATATTGCTTTATTTTCTGAGAATGAAATTGTTTATGTTTTGAAAATTATTATTAATTAGGGTGGTCGTGGTACTGAATGTTCTTTGATAGATAGGTGTGCTTTGTTGTTAAATTAAACACTTGTTTGTTGTTACTTCTAGTTTTTGTTGCTGGGTGCAGTACCATTTCCTAAAGATGTTCCTCACTTGAAGAACCTTGGTGTTGGTGGTGTAATTACTTTGAATGAACCGTATGAAACTTTGGTACCATCGTCATTGTATCGTGTAAGTGTTATGTTATACCCTTTTTCTTCAAATATGTATTGTCTTGGCACTTTTTGAGCTAATTGTGTGTTACGAAGTAAAATTACCTATTTTTATGCTTGCGAGTATATCTAGTTGGTTTGTGTATAATTAATACATGGATAATGAATTTTCACATTACTACGGTAGTTCCTGATCTCTTTGCTATGGTTATTTTTGTTTATGACCATTTCTGATTGCTTTGTTTATTTGCTTAATTTGTTTTAGGCTCACGGGATCGATCATTTGGTAATTCCTACGAGAGATTATCTCTTTGCTCCCTCATTTGTGGATATCAACCGGGCTGTGCAGTTCATTCATAGTGGGTTTTTTCAATTTTATTTAATTTTGGGAAGGGGGGTAAATCCATCTATCAATGTGGTTCTTAGCCATGCTGTGTCCTGGAAAATAGTTTTGCGTGTGTGGTTTATCTTACTTTTCTATTTTATTACAGATAACGCTACTTGTGGTAAAACAACTTATGTTCACTGTAAAGCTGGGCGTGGGAGGAGTACAACAATTGTGCTTTGTTATTTGGTAAGCTTTTGATCTTTCTTATTAAAAGTTGTGGCATCAGTATCAGTTGTAGCTTTGAGGGAGTGATTGATTGCCGTGTGTTCTACTACTGTTTTTCAGGTTGAATACAAGCACATGACTCCTGCTGCTGCCCTGGAGTATGTGCGGTCTCGAAGACCTAGAGTGCTACTAGCACCATCACAGTGGAAGGTATACCCAGTTTTAGATTATTTATTTATTTTTTCTCTTCTACTTTCTAGAAGTCAGTGACTCAATATAACAATTGTTGTGCTTTTGTGGTAATGATTTCTTTCATAGCATTCAGTTTCTGGTATAATCTTTGAATGTATTGTATGCAGGCTGTTCAAAGTTATAACAATCAAAGACCTTCTCCTTTACCACACTCACCTTCTGGAGACACAGTTCTCATAACCAAAGATGATCTTGAAGGCTATCATAGCACATCTGATACAAGTATGGAGCTGGCAATCGTTTCTAAAGTGCCAAAGACTAAGCCCATGATAGCACGACTATCTTGCCTATTTGCATCCTTAAAAGTATCTGGTAGTAGTGTTCCAATGACAAGGCGGCTGCCAGTTTCAGAGTCGCGTGCTTGCTAAGCCAGCATGACACTGATGTGTCAAGCATGGTGGCCTGTACAGAAGATGGTTATGAAAATAAGTGAATAATTTCCCACGAAGTCGGTACAAATGTGTTTAAGAGAGGGTGCTTAGTAAGAAAGAGGGAAGATGATGTTTACATGTTTAACAGGAACATCATGTAGTTATCTACTTAATCTTGTACATATATTTTTTTCCTTTTGCGTGTTTGTAAATCCAAGTGAAATCATTGTTCATGCTTAAAACATTGGTGTCAAATCAACATAATTGTTGGTTGCTAAATGGTGTCTTGTCATTATTCATGCAATTTCTTTGCACTTGCGTAATTTGTACCAAAGCTCAGCAGGCCGTTGCAGATTGGCTTATCCCTCTTGTCTGTTGCTTTAGTTTCTGCTGCACTAGAAATAACAGCCAACTAAACCGCATGAAGCAGAATACAGGTAAGCTACAAATTTTGTCTTGTTTTTCCAATTATACTACTGGGATAGTACAAGTACATGTTTTTCTTTTTTCATGGTCTAAGATATATCTTTATGTTACCTGTGGTTTTGGCTCTTTTAAATCAAGTAACAAACACGACCGAAGTGCAGTTAAGCCTGGAATCATTTATGTTCTGGTGTGTTTGGATTAGGGGTGAACAAAACCTGCAAGCCGTTCCTGGAACCGGCCTAATTGAACGAGTTTTTGATAAATGGCGGGTCAATATGGGTTAACCGGTAGTGCAGCCCAACTTTACTAGTGAAAGGGGATTTCTCATCTCCCTATATGGTGGAATAACATCTTCCGAAATTTCAGAAATGCTCTTTAGAATTTGGAGATACATCTTAAGTACCTTATGTACCACTTATTAGTTTTTGAGACACATTTCAATTTTGTGATTAAATTTAATTCGGATGGAGATAAAATTTAATTCGGATGGAGATACATCACATTTCATTTTGTGATTAAATTTAATTCGGATGGAGATACATTTTCTAAAATACCTTATGCACACACCACTTATTCGTTTTTGAGTCACATTTCAATTTTATAATTAAATTTAATTCGGAAATACATTTAAGTAATGAAATAACTTTGGTTCGACAAGAAATTAAAAGTATGTTTTCTTTATGTTCACAATTAGTGCACTGGTGCAATAGGCCTGGTTAGACAAGAAATTAAAAGTATGTTTTCTCACTTTTCACCTTGAAGACCCAACTTTGACATATAACTAGTACCAAGCTTCTTGTCTCCTGGAAGAAATGGCAGAAACAGAGAAATGACAAGAAATTTAATTTTGAAAAGAATGGATGCATGTCATAGTTTTTTTATTTTTACTCAAAGATGCATGTCATAGTTATTCCTTCTGAAAAGCATAAATTCAGATTGTGGTTACCTATTGAATATTGCACTTTGCATTCATTTACATCAAAAAAATTAAAAACAGGCAATTACATATGGAGGTATAAGGTGACTTGGTGGTATTGGTTAAGGGCCTTACGGATTGGGAGGCATAAGGGATTGAGTTTGATCTTCACACAATAACGTCTTAACAAGTATACTAACAACTGGCTTTGGTTGTTCAAAACAAAAAAGATGGTGGGAGATAAAAACTCAAGTGGAAATGTTGAGATGATTATTATTTGTTATAGAGGGTCATGTGTAAATAGGAGAATGCATGAATAGAAGAGGATGATTGTTGAATATTTTAAACTTCTGGTGAATAGTTGTGCAGGTGAAAATATTAGAAGAGAGTTTTTTCCACATATTCTTTCTATTTTTTCAATAAATTGTTCACTCTTAAATTTTGAGTTTCGGAAATGTATCTTCAAAGATATTTCGAGAATATATTTTTGGATTAAATTCAGCCATAAAATTGAAGTATCTCTGAATTTTAGAGCTATTTTTAATTTTAAGGAGGCGTGGGTGAGAAAAACCACAACCATGACCGAATCGACTAAGTGTAAATGTAAATCAGTGTTGTTTATTTGATGATATTGTCAAACTCAACCGTTCTTTCAAATTGAATTTGAATGAAGCAACCAAAATAATTTTCTTTTTTTAGAATTTAAATTGGAAAAATTGAGTTTGAATCAAATGGATCGAGCTTAGAGTCGTGAATGAAATCACTTTTCTTGTAAGTATTTCAAACACTCTCAAATGTCTTAGAGTTGGAACGCAAAAATGTCCAGAATAATTTAGTATATACTCAAGTTTGCACAAGACCGATGAAAACTCGAATGTAGGGAAGAGTATATGAAATTTTAGTGAAAAGGATGTACGTTTTGTTATGTTTTTTTGAATCCTGAATGAAGTATTTATAGGTCATATTGGTGTTGTTTGACAAGATTACAACACTTGATGAAACAACTTTCTTTTACCAAGAGTTACAAACTTTTACCAAAAAAGTTTTTTATCCAAAGTTACGTATTTTTTACCAAAATTTACATACTTTTTTTTATATCAAAAGCTACATTGTTTCGCCCACAACAACATTCTTTAAGAGTTGCATACTTTCATTCTACTTCACGAAGTGTTGCCTATTTTTAAATTCAAACCTACTGCAATACTTCACAAGTTTTGTCTATTTTTGAATTCAAACTTACCGATACAATTCACAAATGTTGACTATTTATAAATTAAAAAATTAATCTTCACTTGTATATTTTCTTGTCATTTTGTAACACTCTCAAAATAATTGTTAATAATTTTAAACAATCCCCACTTGTTCTAATAATGACATGATCAATTCCAAAAAAAGAGAGAAAAAAATGTTAATACAGTTAAATATCTTTCCATTTGAACTTAACCTTGGTAAGGATAACACAAATTTTAATCAAAATGTTAAGTAACAATGCTTTGAATTTTTATCCCTTGTGGTTATACCGACATTACCTTACACACATTCTTTATAGGTTCTTTGCCTACATCTTTCGCCTAGAACTATTTATGGCCATGTGCTTTTCCTATTTTCGTGAATTTTTCATGAGAGAAACTCCAACTCTCACTTTGAGACAACACCATCTCGAAATTCATACAAGTGAAGTTTATTTTGTATTTATTTCTCGAGATACATCTCCTTGATATAAAACTTCATTAAGAGTTTGAAAAAAATTCAACCCTCAATATGTAATAGTCAACATTGTCACAAAATGTTTCACAAACATATAAATCAACGACTTGTTGTTACCCATTGAATCTTAGGTTAAAGTTTGTTATCTTCAGATTGGGATGCTACCGTTGTCGGAACCCTTATTCAAGGATTTTCAATCCCATACCTCTCGAGGTGGTCTTTACTAAATCTCTGGCCAATGGTTTAGTAAATGGACCAAGCAAATTATAGCTCGATGATATATATGTGAATGGAATGATTATATCCTTAATCAATTTTCTCACAAAAGAATGTCTAAGTCCTACTTGTCCAGACTTTTTGTTATACATTTTTTGTATGCTCTAGGTAAAGAGACTTGACTACCGCAATGTATCAACACCTTTGACACGGTGTCTTTAGCCAATGAAACTTTCAATATAAGGTACCTTAACCATTCATCTTTCTCACCAGCGAAAGCAAAAGTATGGAACTCTGATTCTATGATTGAGAGAGTGATCCACATTTATTTCTTGCTCTTCCAAGCAATTGCACCTCGACTAGTGCAAATATCCATCCAAATGCAGATTTATGATATTCAACACTTGATATCCAACTCGCATCGGTATATCCTTCTAGTATGATATGAAATCTACCATAATGGAGACCAAAATTTTTGGTTTTCATAAGATAGCCGAAAATCTAACGATGGCCTTCTAATGCTCACCATTTGGACTGCTAGTAAGATCTACTAATTTTACTAATTACAAATGCTATGTCGGATCTAGTACATTGCATGCACTTGCATATTCAAATTGAGCCACAAATCTTCTATCATTCTTTTGAAGTTTGACACTAGGATCAAATGGAGTGGTCACTTCCTTAAAGCGTAAGTGTTTGAACTTATCAAACATTTTTCTCAATATAGTGTGTTTGACTAAGTTCATAGCCCCTACTATTTCGCTTTACTTTGAGCCCAAAATTGTGTCAACTAGTATAAGATCTTTTATCTTGATATGTGGTAGTTAAAAACCTCTTCATTTCTAAAATTCCATTCATCTCGCTTCTAATGATCAATCATATAATCAATATTGAGGCAAATGAATATCACAATATTCTCACACAATTTTGTGTACAAACACTTGTAAAAAAAATTAAATGAAGAATGTTTTTAGATGAAGTGAGATATGAAATTATTAGCAATTTAAAGTAGTATAGTATAAATTGCAATGAACACCTTATTTATGTTCACCTGTCTCAAATCTTCACTTGAATTTCTATGCGAAACTTTCTTGATCAACTTCATCATTGATGTGCATGATACTTTTGAACCTTTTCTTCTTTGATAATCTTTGTCTTCATCAAAATAGAATTAAATATAAGATGTTTCCTCACAATATCCTCCTTTTGATGATGATAAATTCTTTGAATTCGTGTTTTGATAACGATTAAAGATTCTCTTCATAATTTGTGTGTCTCCCTCTTAATTGGTGAATCTTTTGTTCATTACCAAGAAACATGTAACCTTTCTATTTCTCCATTGAAAATAACCTCATCGAGATCTCCATTTTAGAATATTGTTTTGACATCCATTTGATGAACTATAAGATCATGTAAAGAAGCTAATGCAAACGATACTCTAATTTTTGTTGTGCTTACTACTAGTGCATATGTCTCAAAATAATCAACATCTTCCTTTTATCTAAAAACCTTTTGATTTGACATTATATAATTTATTTTGTCTTGGATAGTTTCCTTCCAAAAAGAGAAGTCTTTCAAAGCTAATTCTTCCCTTTAAGTCTTAGAATCATTTTCCACTTGAAAAATAATAAAAAAATTTCGAACAAAGTTCTCACCATCTTCTTCCACTAAATAAAGGAAATAAGTCGAGAATTATTTTTGTTTGGTCCTAGATCCTTAGTCTTTCAAACTC